GCTCCCAGAATTCCCCAGCCAGCATGGCTGGCTGGGAAATTCTGGGAGTTGCAGTCCGCGCATCCTAAAGTTACCAGCTTTGAGAAACATTGCTCTAAAGCTTTGAAGAAAATAAGAAGTGAAATAGGTGAGGCAGGGATGCAAAATTGGAGTGGTCACATCACAGATGTGGGGAGTCATGTTTGCTCTGTATTTTGCCTGGGGTGGATGGGGGAGGTTTTCTTCCTCTTCCCTCATTCTCTGTTTTTAAACTATGTAATGTTGACTACTATAGTATTATGTGTTTCATCTCAGAACAGTGGGAAATTGTGCAATCGATGTTTGGCACTGGTATGAATTATTTGGGGTTCAGAGGACTCATGCAGCCGTGGGGCACTGAATTACCTACTCCCAAAGAAAGGGGACCTACCTGCATTTCAATCTCCATGAACATGAATGCATCATGTGCAGAACTAAGACATCCCACTTATCCTCTTATATGCGTGTACTGAATTCCAAAACAAAGATCAGATAGTCTTTCTGGATGGAACAATTCCCTAGCCCTATCCCATTACTAGGCCACGTTTTAGCCATCCACCTGGTACAGCTTTCAAATTAAGAGAGATTTTTGCCTGCTTTAAGAAAGGGAGGGTGGCCATGTAAGGATCACAGCTGATAGGAGTTTATTCCCCAACCTGCACTGAGAAATCCAGAAAAGTGGAGGGGGGGTTGGTGCACCCCAAAATACTATGAATTTTATGAAAGTGTGTTTTATGGGCAAAAAGACCCCTTAATTGTATCCCACCATTTCAGAACGCATGGCAGATCAGAGCCCCAAAACTGAATTCTCTCCAGGATGCATCAAGATGGCTGAGAACGCATCTACTTCACTCTTTCAGATCAACATGAGAAGACTTCCTTGCAACCTTTTAGAAAATTACTCCAAGCTTGACAGAAGGGCAGAGGGGCGCATCTCTCCCTTGGGATTTAATTATAGTCATTATGAAGGTGAGGAAAAGCAAAGTGATGTGAAATAAAAAGACTACACTGAAAATTAGTACCAACACTTTGTTACAAATTTGTCACTTAAATAGTTTTTTAAAAAAAATCGCAACACTGGCCAACCATGAATGCTACAGCTAATTTTGTTCTAATTTGCAAATGTCTAGCAGGTGTTACTAGACTAACTGAACCAAAACAAGGATCCACTTTTTGGACTTCTCCAACAGCCTAAAGACGCTCTCATGCTAGAAACTTTAAGTATGTATGTGCAAAATTTATCAATCTATATTTTTTCTTTCTCTCTGCATTATGTCATTCCTGGATCAGTTCAGTGGTTCCCAAAAGTAAAATCCAAACCAAAAGTGGCTTGTGATATTTCAGACTAAATTGATCTGTTTCAGAGCAGGTCTACCCCTAGAAAACCTGCTTGGTCTAATCTGTTACAACATACAAAGCCAACATGTATTTATTTGCTTTTGGCTGAGCAAAAGCACTGACCCAGCCACTGTGTTTGGTAAGCCACTTTTTAAAGTTTAGTACATGGCTTGAACCCAGCCATTATGGCTCACTCCATAAATCAGGGCTGCATAGTTGGCTAACCAGGCCTTGCATCTTGCAAGGACTCAGTCCTGGACACTGTGTCACAGTTGGCATTGATCCAGGGGATGAATTGTGAATTTGCCCTATGCATATCTGTTGTGGATCTGGCAATCGGATCAATCAGTAATCATGCTGGGGGGGAAAAATGTGGAAATATAAGTATTTGGAAATGGGAACGTTTTCTGACAGCAGTCAATTTTTATCAATGTTTCTGTAAGTCGTAAGAATGGCTTATTCTTTGCGAAAAAGTCTCAACTACCTGATAATATACAGGATAGCTCACAAAGGAAGGGATCTGGTCTGCCACCCTCCTGAAACATTTTATTTTATTTCAATTATGCTATTATTATTATCTGCCAACTTTGGAAGTCAGCTTGGTTCACCTTTTAGTTGTGTAATCGGCTTACAAGCTGGAAAAACCTAGCTTGACCTAACAGGAATCTGACCTGGATTTTGGTTGCCTTCCATAATAGCTGAGTTCACATATTGTGCCATGTCATGCCTTATTTAACTATAATTTGAGTAACCTCAATTGACTGGCTTCATACAAGCTATAAAGCATTATTTAATGATCAAGCAAGCCATAAACCAACATTTACAAATGCAGTGGCTAATTTCACACAACTACAAATCTATAGACAATATGAATCCAGTCAATATGAATCCAGTCAAATATCTTGCACACTTATAGAATACATCACTTTTATATTAACCTGGACTTCCTGCTATTCAGTCCTATCTAGGTGGCACTGAATAAAGAACTATGGGAATGCTCTGCTCCTAAAGATAGTCTAGAACTAGTTTAACAAAATACAAATGTGTTAGAAAGGTGATGTTCCAATGTCTTCTGTCCAAACCACCAGCATGTATAGTTGCTTGATTAAGAACATTTCACAGTTGGTCAGAAGAGATGAACTTTTGCAAACTTTTGATCAACTCTAGAAATAAACATATGGGTGTGTAGGGTGGGGTGGGGAGAACTGCAGCAGTTCTGAGCAGCCCTGGTAACTTGCCAAATTAGGTTAAGATGTGGAGCATTGATAGCAGAGCTTGAGAAGATTGTGCATTCACTGGCAACTTGAGAAAATATCAAAGCCCAATTGGGTTTCTACCAAAAGCATTACCTTCTCAGCGAGGTTATCATCATCAGTGGGTTGTGTCTCACTAGCGATTAAGAACCGCACAAATAATCTCGCTGTCAGTGAAACTCAACAAAGTAAAATCTACAGAACCTGGAGACTGTTGATCTGTTTTGCAGTTTATTGCAGAGATAAACACAATGCAATTTTAATTCACCATAAAATGGAGGACTTTCAATTATTAAGTTAGTATTTCTGTAGTTCATTTCTTGATACCAAAGTCACTTTGGCCATTTTACAACATTTTTATGAGAGAAGCTGGCATTATAATATTTATTTCCATATTACAGTGAAGGATAATGAGAGAATTAAGGGTAAAAGAGATAGTTTAGCAACTTGGCTAAGGTCACCTCTTGAGCTGACAGTCAAGGTGAACCCAAGACTTCTTAGCTTACAAATCTCACTTTTAATCAACTCTTGCCACCTTTCATCCTTATTATTTTCTAGGACTCACAGCCACTGCTGCCTTCTTGTTTTTCACAATACTAATAATCTAATATTTAAAATTGTACACATTGTGCATTACAACTTCTTGTCAGGCAGAAATACTGGAAACAAAAGCAACTTTAATATGATCCAGAGATGGCCATCAAGTGGGAACTAGTATAGCTTGGAGATCAAACCAAGAAATCGGGGAAGCAGAGGAATGGTTTGGAGCTGTAGTTGGAACCAGTTTACTGAGAACCAGGTTCTCCAATAAAGCCCCAAATTGTGCAGGAAATCTTCGAAACCCTTCTTAAAGAAGCAGTCCAATTGACAGTTTGGATGAGTAACACTTCTCTAGTATCTAGAAGGGCCTTAAAGACCACTTCACCCAGGCCTTTGGAGAGGACAACTGATGCCCCTTTCTTCCCTTCTGTTCCCCTCTGGGTTTATTTTCTTTGCCATTCTTGTTCTTTTGTCTTGTGCTGGTTCTGCATTTTTTTTTTGTATAATTCTTTGTTTTTAAATGTTTTAACAATTGTAAACCACTCAAAGTCTCGGAGTCAGGCAGCATATTATCATTATCTGGGACCCCTTTTCTGTTGAATGGCATATTCCAACTTGCAGTCATAGTAGCTGACAAGAAATGATACTATCCCTGTAGCTGTGAGCTAGAGATTCTTCAACAACTCACAACAATACAAATCTAGCAAATAAGAGAGTAAGATGATCTATACCAGGTGAATGTGAACATGTATCCTTGCATTATCCTGACATCTGAAGCAGTTCAGGGGACTTCCTTGGTTCATTTCATATCTGCCCCACAATCATGGCTGAATGGAGCCTCTCTCCATTCAACCTCAATCACCACCCTACTTTCTGTTCTTCTCCTACTCTTACTGCCTCTACAACCCACAGAGACACTTCTTAGCTCAAAACTAAAATGACTAACCACTTCCTCTTGCATATAGCTCCTAAAATTATCTTCCATCTTCCCCACAGGCACCACATGCATGCACGCACACTCACAAAGAATTATCAGTCCTATAAAAAAACTCTGCAAATTGAAAGACTCATATTCAGGTGTGGTATCAGATGCAACTCCAACTGTCCCACTGCTGCTGCTAAGAACATTGAAAGAAATAAGTCATAATTGTTAACTCTTGGATGTATAACCTCTGTCTTAACCTGTGGCCTCTCCAAGGCAGGTGTTTCAAGCTTCCTTCCTCATTCTATCAGTGACATGAAGATAACAGTAGCCAACCTTAACAGGACTGTTTGTAAGCATCACTAATGTGATGTCTATAAAGTGCTCTAAAATACTAGGAATACGCAGAAAGTAAATCAGTGGGTCTGCACAACTGACTAGATTAGACTGAAGTGGGATTGGGAATCTGTGGTTCAGTGTGTTGTGAGAATCCACCCATTGTCTTAGTACACGTATGAACCAAGCTATCACAGTAAATCATAAAAAAGTGTTATTTTCTTGGGTATTATGTGGATACAGCCAATGAATTAGCTAACCCAGTTTCAGTGGGGTGTTATTGTTACTACTGCTGGTCCTGCCAATGAGAATGACACACTGGCAATGTTTGCATAATACACTGAACCTGGTGAACAATTTAGTCCATGAGTTTGCAGAATGTGCTGAATTATAAACTAACCAAACGAACTGAGTTTGTAGAACATGCTGGATCCCCCTCCCGCCCCCCAAAATATGAACAAAATTTAAAGGAAGCAAACTTAGCCTATTGAACCAATGCAGCTGTCAGATCCTTAACTGATCTGCTTCAGCATGTTGTATGAACACAGCCACGGGGAACTGTTTCAATCGACCACACTCTTCCAGCATCTTACCTGTGTAGCCAGCCAGAGCAGCAGCAGGAATGACAGGTTTGTCCTTGTTCATGTCAGTTCGGTCTCGAACATAGTCCTTGAAAGTGCCTTTGGGCTTGTGGTTGGGCAGAGGAACGGGATAGTCCTCTGAATCAAAGCTATCATAGGAAGGGACGCGCTGGAGACTCTGGAAGGATGACTGGCTGCTCCAGGACTGCGCCAGACGGTCACAACTATCGTAACTCTCTATACTCTCAAAAGAATCTTGGCCCCCAAGTTTACCTGCAGGGCAAGAAGAAAATGAGGTTCACATCCAACCAGCGATAGTGATGCCTCCATCAGGGGGAAAAAAAGGTCCAGGCTACAAGTGACATTGGGTGTAGACCCCCAGATCCCCTCCAACAGTTGCCATCAAATTGTCATGTTTTAATGTGACAGGAAGAGTCATTAAAAACATGGGAAGTCAACATTTTAATCATCCTTAATGAAATACTAATTTAGTTTAACTCAGGTTGCTGCTCTAACCACGCCACTTTTCCCCTTCTTTTTGCAGCACAGCCTCCAGCCTGTCCCTGAAAACCAAATAGATCTCTCAGCCAAAGAGGAACTGGGAGTCCTCATACTTCTATCCTGAAAGTCCAACACAAACCCTTTCTTTGAAGTATTATTGCTGGAGCTGAGCCAGAAATAAATTTCTTCAGCTGCAGATCTGCCTGAGGGCTGATGGCATGATGGGGTTAGAAGGACCCTGTGCCATCTTGGGTTGGGTTCAAAACAGGTGTAAGGGAGGGGCTAAGCTGAACCAAGCAATGAAATGGAAATGGGCCTCATATTGCCTTCTTTCAGGTTGAAGTTAGGAGTTATGTCGATCTGACACTTACACCTCCTAGTGCAAATAATATCTTGTTAGCAGGGCCTTTGTGAAACCATGGTTCACAAGGCTGGATCTATGCTCTGCCTCTCACTGCTTGTGAGTCCATGTCAGTGTCTCTGTGCTTTGACCATTTGCATGACCTTTTCTCTGAAATATACCTATTCCCCTACTCAGTTAAGGATACGGCTAAACCTGGGAAAGGGACAGACATCTTTATGGCTTTCACTGAATCCTAAGAAGGGAAACAGACAACCTGGGCTTCAGCTTAGGAGCAGAGTCTTACAAGCAGAGCAGAGATTACAAGCAGAAAGTCTCAAGTTCAGTCTCCAGTCTCTACACTTAACAGAACCAGGTTGTAAGGAGAGGGAATGACTTCTTTGTATAGATGACCGAGTAGATGGACAAACAATCTGACCTGCTATAAGGAACCTACAAAGACATTTGTAGGTATCAATCAAGAAGTTTCTCCAAACGTGGCAGACGGAGCTATCATCTTTTAGACTCACTGGCTTTCAAATTCAGGCCCTTTTGATAATCATGCCTTTGTTTGAACATTTTCCTATTTCAGCTGCATATCCAGAGCCTTCCAGGGCAAACAAGGAAAGACTGTGCGCCATCGCTTCTTCCTCCTCCTCCTCCTCCTCCTCCTCTTAATCATTAGATACTACCTCAGCCCTGGCAAGCATGAGGGTTATTCTTGGTTTCTTAGAGATCAGTTTGCCAGAAGTCAAATCTGTCAACTCAGGCAACTCTGCCCAGATTTATCACTCTTATTTCAACTGAAAATCTGAATTCCTACCTAAGTTCACAGGTTTAAATGTAAACAAATAAAACAAATAAGATCTTATGCTGCACTTTCTGGAATTCCACTCTCTGGCTATTGCTCAACCTTTCCAGATTTACTGACAACCTGAAGAGTGTAGTAGGATCATTTGAGTTCATTAATTACCCAAACCAGTCTGAAAACAGCTGCTGGGATTGTGTAAGATCTAGGGGGAAAAATTCATTGGCAGAGATGCTGGCAGCTAAAACCCACAGAATAAATCTCAGAGGTGGAGAAAAGGCTTTGAACTGGCCTATTTGCCCTGTTTTGATTTGACCTCCATATCCCCTACCTACCTACCTCCCCACCCACCTGCACCAATATATAACTAGTAAGAATTTAGATACTGGCAGGGATCACTTGGCTGAAATAGATTCCAAAGTACAGAGAGTCTAGTATTTAGAAGATGTGTGATGCCCTTCCCATAATGCATCTTTGGAAAGCTCAGAAGAAAATCCATGGCTTAGTGAAAGGGAATAAACTCTAGCTCTTCTACAGTTTTGTTGGTAGCACTTCTAGTTGAAATATCTTGCATAGCATAGCTCAGGAAAAATTGTCCATCAGTCAAAGGAGATATATCACCTTAAGCCAAAACAGTGTTATTTATTTATTCATAAGCCTGCAAAGTAATCCCAAAGGAGGACTAATTTGTTAAATTTGTTAAACAAACAAACAAACCACATTATTTATTTAGTTGGTCGATGTGCCCAATCGACCAATTAAATGTGCCCGGGTAACTGCATCCTGTTGACCTTGGCTGATCTCAAAAGAGCTCAGCAGGGTCAGTTAGACCCGGATAATACTTGGATGGGAGAAAATGAAAAAAATCTCAAAGGGCGTAGGCTATATTGGGAAGTTAAAAAAGAAATCCTAGAAGGCAAACCACTTCCAAACAGTTGCCAAGAAAAGTATATGGATGTTTCTGGATTTTTTTTTCCTTTTTAAACATTGTGTGATGTGTGAGCTTAGCTACTGTGGCTTGATTACAGTGTGATCTCAGCTAACTGTAACATATTCCAAAAACCATGGTTAAATCATAGCTTTTAGTGATATAAAATCCCAGCCAGTGTTGTGAGTGGCCAATGATCAGCAAGTTTTGGTTTGTTGGTTTTTTTGTACTGGAAAGACAGACCAAAAGTCTTGATCTGGATTGGGAACCTAGCATGGGGGGGGGAAAAAAAACACCCTCTCAACCCCACTGGAAAGTGTAGGCAAGGGGTTTGAAAATCAAGGCTGGGACCAAGAACAAAGTCAAGTCCAATTCATTATTGAATAAGAAAAGCTGACATAGCTCTGTGGCATACATTTAAGGTATTGTGGTGGTGAGGAGAATGGATTTATAGGTGTGTACATGTTCGGAAGCAAAATCATTCATCCCTATTTGCAAAGAAGCCTGGTGTCCCCATTTGAGTGGGGAACTGTAACAGATATCTTCCCACCTGGGTTTTTGACATGACACAGTCCACCTTGTCAAGGTGGTTGCTATCTTATGACTGCTGCAAGAAATGCCTACAATAGCCTTTGCCAGTTCCACATTCTTCAAGATGTCTTGGACTATGACTTCCATAGTCAGTAGTTGAGGAAGAGTGGTTTAGAACATTTCTCTAGAAGTGATCTTATGTATATTATACCAAAACTACCCGTCCTTTTAGCAAGAGTTACCAGCATAAAATGCAACCATGAACTCCATCTGAAGAAAAGTTGAATGGGACAGCAGCAACCAGAATGTCCCAAGTAAAGGGGCCTTTGTAGGAGATTTGGAGGTGCTAACTATTAGTCTATACTACCTCGGCTGGCACGCCCCATGCACATGTTATCTGGTGTTACGACTTCCTGTTTGATTGTGAAGTAGTCTGTCTGCAAGGAGTCCATCTGCACTGGGTCACGAAGAATGACTGATGGGTACTCATTCTCATATTTGAGAGAGAGGAGCTCCTCAGAGCTGATTGGATGGAGAGTCTGGTAGGACTCTGTGATGAAGCTGGGCTCAGAAAACTCTGATGGAGGGACACACTGGGCATGCTCAATGCCATAACCTGCAAGGAAAAAAAGGGGCATGAATTAATATACTGGTCTAAGCTCTGGGTGTAATCTTTGACCAATGGGATTTATGCTAAAAAAAAATATGATTTAAGCTTAAAGATTAAGCCATGTCCCTGCCGTTGGGAAGTTGAGAAGATTCTATTTTTCATTATATTCCTGCTCTATATTTATTGGAAAAAATTAGGAGAAGAAATCTTGGCAATTCTTTCCTGTTTTTTACAATATTCCCAGGAGCTAAAGGTTTAGGTTTCAGGATTTGCTGATCATTTAATTGGTTAGATTCATTGATTTAAAATCAAACACATACCTTTTGACTGGCTAGAGATGTGCTCCCAATGAACTGGGCAACCCATGCTTAAGTAACAATATTTTGGAACTACCCAGATAGGGAGCAATCACCCATCTTGGCTGATTTCTAAAAGCTAGCTAGAAATTGGACCTGATTAATACTCTGATGGGAGATGGCCAAGAAACACCCAGGCTATAGCTTAGCTTGGGAAATTGAGAAAATCTCCTAACAGAAGGCAACAGCCAACCCTTCCTATATTGTTGCCAAACTGCATAAATACATTCATGAAGTTACCGGGAGTTGACCTTCCCTTGAAGGATCTTCTCTTTAGACAAATTCATGGATGAGAAAGCTTATAGTGACTACTAGTTGTGATAGTGCCATATTGCTTCCCTGAATTGCGCATAGCAGGCCTCAAATGCCATCTGCTGGGTGAGCAACAGTGAAAGATATTTATCAACCTTAGGTGTGGATAGGTTGTAAAGAAAGCCATTTCTTGTTTGTTTAGCCACTTGGGTGTATAATACACATTACTTTCACAGTTAATCAAGAGCAGTCAGAATGCCAGTTAGGGTTCTATTCTGTTAGCTGTTTTCACATGGCCTCTGCTAGATCATCTCCAGGGTTTAGGGCAGAAAAGACATATTTCCCACAACTTCTGCCTGATCTACCTGATTCCCAGGACTTTGACACAGATACACATAACCTACCTGAAGAATGGTTTTTCTGATAAATTTACTCCAGGTCACACTAGTCCTGAGTTCACATTCCATTATTTGTTCCCAGTCAACAGATCACATAGCTCTTCCAATATTCTATATACATTAATTTATCTAATAGAAGTAAATATGTGTAGCTCAGGGTTGAAATGTGGAGTCCTTGGGGTTCTCTGAGCTTGGTTGTTTTCTTGCAAATGTTTCGTTACCTAAGTAACATCTTCGGTCCAAATCCAAAAATGCAAGGGAATTCTTGGAAGCTTGGTGTTAAGACAAGGCAGCCATCAACAGGCACATAGAGATAAACAACATCTATGCACTATTCAAAAGA